GTTTATTCCACTAAGCCATCTCCCCAGGCCCCCTCCCCAGTCCTTTTAAAAATATTTCTTTTTGTAGCTGGGCTTAATGGTGCACGCTTATAATCCCAACACTGGGGAGGCCAAGGCAAGAGGACTGCTTCAAGTTTGAGGTCAGCCTGGGCCAGTGTGGTGGTACGTACCTGTCATTCCAGCAATCAGGAGGCTGAGGCAGGAGGACAGCTGTGAATCCAAGGCAACTAGGTTACATAGTGAGTTCAAGATCAATTTGAACTACATACACACTCTTCTGGGGCCAGGGATATAGCTCAATGGTGCAGTACCTGCCTGCCAAGTGCAGGCAGGGTCCTCAGTTCAATTCCTGGTACCAAATCTCTCTCTCCCCCCAATAATTTTTATTTTTTAATTGTAAAACAAGCTCTCAAGTTGCTAAATTAGGCTGGATTTGAACTTTTGATTCTCCTTTGCCCCAGAGTTCTGGAATTACAGGCGTATTATTATACCTGCGTCGGTTTTGACAAGTTTGGAGAGGGTTTTACAGCACTGGGATGGAACCCAGGGATTCTGTGCCTGTTAGGCAAGCACCCTACCACTGAGCTATGTCCTCAACCCTAGAGAAGCAGTTCTGAACTCAAGAAAGAAATAGCGGAATAGGATGTAAGCTCAAAAGCTCAGCCCAGAGGGGAACCTGCTGGCTCAGCGATATTCAGGAGGCCAGGTTCCTAGAGGAGGATCTCAGAGACCTTCTAGAACTTGCTTTATTTGAAACCCACACACTTAGATTTTCGAGGAGGGGCAGGTGGGAGTCCTAAGGGCTTGTTAGCGCCACAGACTCTCAGCTATTGACTTCAGGAAATGCCTCAGGATGAGCTTGGGAGAGAGAACTTGTTTCTAGTAGTTTCAAGGTACCAGTGTGAAGAGAGTGCTAAGTCCTGCATGGCAAGCCATCCAGGGAGGTGTAGGGGACTCACCCAAGGACAAGTCCTCACCAGATCCCCAGGGAAGGGAGCCTCAGACCACCAGGCAGCTGGGGTGTGAGGTCTAGTGCCAGGGCCGAGGGCTCACATTGTACAGCCTTCTGTGGTTTTTTTGTGTGGCAGAACTGGGGATTGAACTCGGGCCCTTGTGCTTGCCAGGCAAGTGCTTATTCTACTGAGCCATCTCCCCAACCCCTGTGTTCATTCTTGATCTGGGAGTGTCCAGCACTGGGGAGGCTGAGGCAGGAAGATTGCCACAGGTTGGAGGCCAGCCTAGGCTATATAGTGAGTTCAAGACCAGCCTGGACTACATAGACCCTGTCTCAAAAAAAGTAAAAAAGAATAAATAAATGAAAAACTTTTCATTGCACCCTCTCCTGTGGAAGGGACAAAATAGTGTTCTAGTGTTCTAGGGTCTCTTTCGTAAGAACACTAAGCTACTCATGAGGGCTTCACTCTTATGACTAATTACCCTAACAGGAAGCAGTCTTTTTTTTGTCTTTCAAATCAGAAAAACATGGAGCAGTAGCTCAGTATTAGAACACTTGCTTAGCATGCATGTGAGGCCCTGCATTTGATCCCAAATTCTGTGCTACCATAAAGAGAAAAGTATACAACTCAATAGAAGCCAGGGAAAATGAATAAATAGGCAGTTAAGACCTGAAACACAATTGGCCACAGACATGAGAAGACACCCAGTTTCACTAAAAGATAAAATGCCATTTTTTTGTTCTATCAGATCAACAAAGGTGATTTGGTGAAGGGTCAGACACTGCTGATGAGTATTAAAACAGTAATTTAGCACTGTCCGGATAACTTGTTTTTCTGATGCAGGAGACTGATCCCAGGGCCTCACACCTGCCAGGCAGATGTCCTACCTATAAGCTACATACCCAGTAACAATATGTATTTTACATGTTCAGTCCTTTTGATTCAAATTTCACTTCTAGAAGATCATCCCCACAACCCCATACAATCATTGGAACATGGTTTAAATTAAAAAAAATAAATCTTGATGAGGAAGTGGCTGACTCAAAAGGCAGATTCACACATAGAAATTTATGTAGACATTAAAGATATTGAAATGACTTACAATCAAGGTGTACTGGTAAAGAAAAAGATTTAAGTATGGGGCAGAATCAAGCAATGAAATGGTACACTCAGCTGTTTAGTTTGATCCTACTTATGTAAGTCCACGCAGGGTGATACGTGTACACAGACTACTGTGGGATGTGCACTGAGCTGGTTAGCTGTGAGGAGTACAACGTCAAAGACTTCTTTTTTTGTCTTTTGGAGACAGGGTCTCACTATGTAGTTCAGGCTGACCTTGAGCTCACTTTGTAGCCCACAATGGCTTTCAACTTGGAGCGATTCTCCTGGTTTTGCCTCCTAAATGCTGGGATTACGGGCCTGTGCTTCCATGCCTGCTCAAAGGATTTTTTTGACTTCTCATTCTCCAGAAGTATGAGAAACACATTTCTGTTGTTTATAAGCCAGTTTATATTTTGTTACAGCAGCATGAACAGTCTAAAACAGTTGGTACTTTGCCATCTTCCCTGGGTATTTTCTCACTTAAAACATAGTTCTGTTGTTTTTTTTGTACTGGGAATCAAACTCATGACCTTGTGCTTAGCGGCAGGTGCTTATTTCTTTTGTAATTTTGAGTCAAGGTTTCACTATGCAGTTCAGACTGGCCTTGAACTCACTTTGTAGCCCAGACTGGCCTCAAACTCAAGAGACCCTCCTGCATCAGCCTTGGAGTGCTGGAATTATAGGTGTGTGCCCCCATGCCCAGACAAAACATAAACTTAAGCAGCCACATATTTGGCATAAGGCAATACCTCAGCAGTGATGCCTCTTGCAGATGAACTTTTGTGGGAATCATGATCTGCACAGGTAGAAAATTTTGGTTTTGGCTGGGGAGATAGCTCGGCAGGACAAGCGCCTGCCTGGCAAGTGCAAGGTCCCAAGTTTGTTTTCTGGCACAAAAAGCATGAAAAAAGAAAATTAAGAGTGTACACTGTCATTTATGTGTGTTGTAACAGGGACTGAATCCAGCGCTTTCACAGTGAGCTACACTTTTTGGCCCCTCTGCTTTTTTTTTTTTTTTTTTTGAGATAGGTGGGTTGATAAATTGTCCAGGCTGAGCTCCAATTTTTCCACTCCTGGCGGTAGACAAGTGCTGTTTGTTCACATGCTTGACAGTTACCTTTTAAAGCTTTAGGTGATAGTCTGCTGCAACATGCAGGCCACAGATTCACCTCCACTGCCCCAGGTTCATTACCCAGTACCAAAGGTGGGATCAGGTGGGGTGTCTATGTCCATTTCCACTGGCATTCTTTCATGTATCAGATATATAACTGCATTACAACTTTTAAAACTCATCAAAAAAACAAACAACAACAACAAAAAACAACAACAACAAAAAAAAACCCATAGTGTGTATTTCTCTTATCTCTTTTATAGATAAGGAAAGAAGTCCAGCAAGGTAGAGTGCCTGCCCTTGATTGAAACCCAGTTAAGCATCCTGGTAAATCAAATTCATCAAAAGGGAACTCTGGCAGGAAGTTGTGTCCGGAGAAGTATGGCAGCTCACCAAAAGATAGAAGGCTGGAAGGGCCAGTCAGGTAGCTCATTGGACTAAAGCGCCAGCTTAGGCAGGTGCAAGGACCGAGGTTCAAATCACGAGTACCATGTTAGCCCTGCCCCCGGGATGTGCTTAGATGATTGAGACTGGGCTTGGTGGTACGCACCTGTAATCCCAGTGCTTGGGAAGCTAAAAATCACTACGAATCTGATCTGCATAGTGAGACCCTGTACTAATCAAAACAAACAAAAAAAAAGGCTAGGCATGGTGGCACACACCTATAATCCCAGCACTGAGAGGCTGGGACAGTAAGATCATTGGAAATTTGAGGGGCCAGGGAGATGGCTCAGTAGAATAAGCACTTCCCTGGCAAGCGCAAGGCCTGAGTTTAATCCCCGGTTCCACCAAAAAAAAAAAAAAAAATCATTGGAAATTCAAGACTAGTCTAGGCTACAAAATGAGCTCAAGGCCAGCCTAAACTATATAGCCAGACCCTGTCTCCCCTCCCGCAACACACACACAAAAAAGATATTCAGCAAGTTAAAAGGCAGAACAGACATAAAAGCCTGAGCCTCAGAATAGCTGAAGATCCCCAGGCCAAGCCTTTTTTACCAAGCTGACACCACAGTGCCTCCCCTAGGCCAAAGATTAAATTTACCTCTGTATGATTAAAGAATGACATTCACCACTTAGAGGCCAGAGTTGAAGGTAGTATCTCCAACTAGGCTCATGTTTTGAAAATCAGAATTCTTTGGAAGTTAATGGAAGACTCCAAAGGGTGGAGCCTGTCTTTTCATGTGTGCAGACAGCTCTGATGTGGGATCAATGTAAATTCACTGAAATGCAAAGATCAGGTAGAATCAACAAAGCAAACGACAGGTCTCAAGGCCAATTTACATTTATTTGCTGATAACTCTTAATAAACGGACTTCAAACTCAGTAGAAGTTAAACAGTCTGTTTGTTAGGTGGAGCCATTCCTTGCCAGCGGCTGTTGGTGGTCTGTGAAGAGTGGAGACCCCAGCTCTGCGCAAACAGCAAGTAGGTAGGCCTGGTCCTTCTGGCCTCTGGGAGCCGAGGAACTACTCACTGGTCTCATACTTGTGCTTGATATGTTTCCACAGCTTCTGCATATCAAAGACAAGAACCACTAACTGTAACCTTTGCTCTCACATTTTACAACTACTCCCAACACACAACTAAAACAAGCTAGTTGTGTTGGCAGGATGGAAGCATCACCAGGCTTCACACCCAATTATTTTTTTATGTATTTGGTACAGGGTCTCACTACGCAAATTGGGACTCACATTGGAACAAGAAGTAATCCTCCTGTTTTCAGCCTCCCTAGTGCTGGGTCAGCAGGTGTGCGCCACCATGCCCAGATTCAGTCCCTGGCTCAGCATGCCCTGGGGCAGGGCTGGCATGGGCCCTGTAGCACAGCAGATCGAACCCGTCCCTGTGCTTGCCTAAGCAGGCACTTAGTCCGCTGAGCTATCTCACCGGTCCTTGACAAGTAATTCTAAACATTTATAAAATACTGTGATGCTCTCAATCATTATGTGAAGTAGGAAGGACAATCCTACTTCTACAGGAAATTAAAGCAGATTGAGAGTGGCCCCTAACACAGTAATTGAGAGCTTAATTTATACCCCTGGTATAAATCCAGGGGTACTGGGTTTATACTGCACCGGGCGTGGTGGCACATGCCTGTAATCCCAGCACTCTGGAGACGGAGGCAGGAGGATCACTGTTTGCTTGAGACCAGCTTGGGCTACATAGTGAGTTCAAGGCCAGCCTGAACTGCATAGTGGGACCTTGTCTCAAAAAAGAAAGAAAAGAATGAACAAACGAATGAACGAATGAGAGAAAGAAATTAGGAAAGAAAGAATATCCAGGGGTACTAAGTTGAGCCACTTTCCTTTGACCTAAATTGGCTGGAATTCTTTCCTAAAAGCACAGGGAAATGGGTGGGATACAACAAAGTACTTAAGACACTTTTTCAGATCAGTGGGAATAGCCAAAATAAACCAGTGCCCAAGACAGGACAGTGGTAACATTTGTATGTGGCAGGAAGTTGCCCTGGCCATGGACAGTATGGCATTAGTGAACAGAGCTTTCCTGGGATGTACAGTCAGATAGTCTCTAGTTAAAAAAACACAAGTCCAGGACCCAGTGATATATTTATCTATATCAGACCTTTTCCAGTATAGCCACAATCTAATGACATAAAGCATGCAGAGAACTTAGCAGTGGTAGGCACATAAGAAGTCTACAACGTGTTATTACTCCTATTTTACGCTCCCACCTTTTCCTGAGCAATGCAGAGAATGTTCTTTTTCAGCGCCACCCACCAGGCACTGTGGCACTTTATCTGCATTCACTGGGGTAGTTACTATCATGGACTCTATTTCACAGATAACACTGAAGCTCAGAGAAATTAAGAAACATGTCCAAGTTAATGTCATGGTTATTAAGTGACAAGACCTAGTATACCCAAGTAGGATACTTTGATTTCATAGCACCCATTTATTAACCCAGCTATCTTGCTGGGCACAACGGCACACACCTGTCATCTCTGCAAAAGGAGGCTGATGAGACAAGAGGACTCAAAAGAGTTCAAAGCCAGTGTAGGCTACACAGCGAGTTCATGGCCACTAGGCTTGAGGGGGAGGTGGTGGCCATTTTTTTGTTTCTGTTTGTTTTTGGAGACAAGGTTTCACTATGTAGCTCAGGTTAGCCTTGAACTCACTATGTAGCCCATGCTGGCTCAAACTCTCAGCAATCCTCCTGCCTCAGTCTCCCCAGTTTCGGGATTACAGGCGTGCAGTACCATGCCAGACTTGAAAGAGCAATTTTAAAAGGTCAGCCACAGTATCTAAGGAAGTGTCTTTTTCAAGGGCTCAAATCTGCCCTTACACTCTCAAAGGAGGCAGGGGTCAAAGTTCCGGCTCTCATTTACCAGTGACTTATTGGTGGTGCGGTCCTGGTAAGTTCTTTGCTCTCACAAGTTTTAATTTAGCTTCTACAATTGAGCAGTGGGTTTGTAGAGTGGGACCCTGCAAAGTACAGCCTTTTTCCCTTTTTCTTTTTAACGTTTTAAGGTTCACACTAGGTCGAGAGGGTAGATGGCATTCTCCAGCCAAAAGACGCCCACAGTTTTTACCCCCTTCCTGGTAAAGGTAGCCAGACTCCCGTCCCATTTCCACTCCCACCGTTATTTCAACCAGGCTCAAGGTCAGGATGGCCTAGACCCTCACCCCGTCGTTGATATGCTCGTAGATCGCGTCTGCGCCTTGGTCGAAAGCGCGCTCGAAGAACAAGGCGCCCACAGCAATGGTGAGGGCGAAGGTGGAAGTCCTGCGAAACAGCAAGGAGTACAACCTCGAAGAAAGAGTCGGAGCAGCCATGTTACCTCACTGCTAAACTCCCCGCCACCGCGCCTGCGTTGAGGCCGACCTCGCGCTCTAACGGCATTTACTGCAATGCCTTATGGGATTGGTAGTTTCTTCGGATCACAAAGGTCATCCTTTTGAACCACAGAGGTAACGGATGGACTGAGGAGGAGAAAAAATATCTCATAAGATCCAAACCATCACAATCCACGCATTGAAAGTTGTATTATCCAGTTTTTCTTCGCAATGATTTTTGTGCTCGTTGAATAAGTGAACTACAACTTCCAGAAGGCCTCGCGCGCCCACCGCCCCTCCCCGCACTGTTTCAGTTTAGTTTCCCAAAGCTTTCTGGGACGGATGGGCTGATACCCAACTACGAATCCCAGCAAGCAGTGCGCGCGACGCAAGGGCGCAGGAGGAGGAGCCTGCAGCCGTTCTTCCCGGCGGAGCCAGGTATCTTCCTTGGCGGGACGTTGTGGGGCGAGTTCTACACCTTCCCGACACTGGAAGGCTCGGGCTCTGCCTTCTAATTGTGTGTATCTCGACATTCCCGCGTTGGGGAATGGGTGAACGGGAAGGGTACCTGGTTTTTCCGCGGACCCTCAGCTAATCTCATCTTCCCTGCCCCGAGTACAGGCCTAGAGGTGAAAGAAGTGGGTCCCGGGGTCTGTTCTGTCCGTGCTTCATGTTTTCCACACACCTCCAGGCTTCGAAGTCAAGAACCCTGGCCTAGCAGACAGGCGACCTGGGGCCACTTATTTCTTCTTGAGAATAAGAAGAGTGAGGGCTTTCGATTTAGGGGCAACAGATAAATGTTTACCAAGTCCCCAACATTAACCCTGTCCAGCCCCATGCGGTGGTCATAGAGCTATCACTTTGCTGTGTAGGAATGGAAAAGGGGCTGGGTGGTGGCAGGAGAAACCTGTGTTTCTGTGCACAAGTAGTGTCGTAGTGCTTTAAAAAACAGAAAACTAGTCTGGCGTGATGGTCCATACTTAAAATCCCAGCATTCGGGAGCCAAAGGCAGGAGGATTATTGTGAGTTCAGGGCCTGTCTAGGCTTACATAGTAAGTCCAAGGTCTGTTTGGGGAGAACTTGGTGGCTATTTTTGTTTGTTTGTCTTTTTTGAGATGGGGACTCACTATGTAATTCATACTGACCTTGAACTCACTATGTAGCCCAAGCTAGCTTCAAACTCAGAGATCTTGCCTCAGCCTCCCAAGAGCTGGGATTACAGCCACCACACCTGCCTGGTTGTGCTGTTTTAGCCTGGGTGGCTGCTCTGAGGGTGACACTTGGCTGAAGGCTAAACACCTGAGTGATTATAGTCGCTGGTCAAGCAGGAAATGGTTGGTGCAAAGGTGCTGAGGTGGCTGCATTCCTGGGATGTTTGAGGGAAAGTAGAGTGGACTATGAAGAGGTGGGCTTGAATCAGCTTCAGTCTGGCCTTGTAATCCATGGTAAGGAGTCTTTATTTAAAAAAAAAAAGTGTCCTAGGAAGCCACTGAAGTTTTTTGAGCAGGGCTGTGACAAGATGTAATTTCCGTTTTAATGTCATTTTGACTGCTCTCTGGAGAACGGACTGAAGAGGGGGAAGTTATTGAGATGGATCAGTTGAAAGAAGATGGTGATTTAGATTAGGATGTGGATTAGAGTAATGATCAGATTTGAGATGTATTTTGGGAGGTAGGGCAGATGGAATAAGTTGGCAGATGTGTGCAAGGTGTATAGCAAAGAATTAAGAACACCTTAAATTTTGAGCTCAGCTACAAAATCAACAGGAATGAACTTAGTTGTGTTTTTGTCACATTCGGTTTGCACTGAAGTGGAGATGTCCAAGGCAAATGGGAACATAGCTTTGGCATTCAGAAAGAGAGGTCTGAATGTAAGACAAGAGTCATCAGGTTAGAGATGACCTTCAAGACCAGGTACTGGACTCCAGGCCTGCCTCTGTCTGCCTCTGACTCTGGGACCTTGGTCAGGTCCAGACCCTCTAGATCCTATTTTTATTCAACTGTAAAAGCAATAGTAGTGCCTACGTAAGGGACTAGAAAGAAAAGTGAAATGTTCTAACTCCTGAATGTTATCCTTTCTGTGGTTATTTACTGCTCACAGAGCATCCTGGTAACTCTTTGGGGCAGAAAGTTGTGACCTACAGGGAATCTGCAGCCATCTAATCTGACTGGTGGGAAGTTCAAGAGAGAAAATCAGTTAGGTGAGATGAGTAGGAAAGACCACAATCAGTAAAAGATGTGACTTATTTCTTTTAAATTTTTTTTGTTTTGTTTTGTTTTGTTTTTGAGACAGGGTCTCACTATATAGTCCAGGCTGGCTTTGAACTCACTGTGTAGCCCCTGCTGGCCTTATGCTCTCAGCAATCCTCCTACTTCAGCCTCCTGAGTGCTAAGATCACAGGCGTGTGCCACCATGACTGTCCTATTTTTTATCTTTTAAATTAACATTTTCATTTTAAAGTAACAATTTTAAAACCTTGTTTTCTCCAGGCTATCAGTTTTAATTTGAAATTATTATTCTATACATGAATCTATGAAAGTAAGAAAAATGACCATAACTTTTTCTTTGATTAATGCTTGAACTCAAGTTGAACAAACTAAATTCCTTAAACACTTAGCCCTTTTTACAGCTTAATTACATTCCCTCAAACATTTTAACTCTATTTATAAATTTAATATATTTGATTTTCTTTTTATGTACTCTACCTGCATAACCTAACAAGCACAATTTCCCCAAGGATACTTAGTTACTAGAAAAATCTAATTAATTAAACTTATACTGAATTTCAGGTTCTTATACACAGTTCAGCACTTTTACAACTTAGTCAAATTATTTTATGTCAGTGGCTCTTGGCTGAGGAGTTTTTAAGAAATGCAGCTTCCCAATGGGGTGTAGCTTAGTGGTAGAGCACTTCCTTACATGCATAAAATCACACACACACGCACACACACACACACGCACGCCCCAGGCTCCATCTCTGATTTGAAATCAGAATATTAAACCAGGTGTGGTGGTCCAGTCCTGTAATTCCAGCACTTGGGAGGCTGAGGCAGAAGTTTGAGGCCAGCCTGGGCTTCAAAGTACGGTAAAGGCTAGCCTCAACTATTGTAGTGAGACCCTGTCTCAAAAAAGACCAGGGGGCCTGCCTCTTAGCTCAATTCTTTAAGTGACTGCTTCAACAAAGCTGTCAGGCTCAGGTTGCTGTGGTTCGAGCCCCACAACTCAAGCCAGCCAAACATGCCCTGAAGGCATTTGGAGCAAAAAAAAAAAAAAAAAGACTGTTATGGAAGGTAGATTTTATTTATTTATTTATTTATTTTTTTGTTTGTGAAAGAGCACATTTTATTGGGAAGCAGAGAGCAAGCAGCACAGTGACCACAGACAAAGGCCGTCCAGTAGGCACCCTATATGTCATATGCATGCCTGTAATATCAGCACTAGGAAGACTGAGGCAAGGGGATTGCCGCAAGTTTGAAGCCAACCGGGGTTACACAGTGAGATCCTTTCTCAAAAAAAAAATTGTTTTTTCAACCTGTACCCCAGTGGTCACTGCAGGGAACGTTGTCCTAAGACCAAAATCTAAATGTCTTAACAGTAAGGAAAGTTGACAGCTATCCACTGCTTACTATACACCACACACACTGCTCAACATCCCCTGTGGATGGGGACTCAATGCCATAATGCACAAAGCCTGTGAGGTCAGTTCTGCTGTCCTCGTCTTGCCCTCAGAAAAACTGCAGCCACATAGTCCACACTTGGCAAGGAGCAAGAGCAGAGTTTGAGTCGCACTGGTTCAGAAACAGCTGTCCAAAGTCAAGGTGAAGGGCTTACCTGTAGTCCCAGGTACTTGGGAGGAGTACCTCAGTCCGGAAGGAGTGATCACTTCAGTCTGGAGTTTGAGACTAGCCTGGGCAACATAGTGAGACTGTCTCAGCAACTTTAAAAAATTGTATTTATGGGCTGGGGAGATGGCTCAGTGAAATAAGTGCTTCTCTGGCGAGCACAAGGGCCTGAGTTCAATCCCCAGTTTTGGGACTGGTGAGATGGCTCAGTGGTCTAAAGCACCTACTTAGAACAAGCTTAGTAAAGCACAGGGACCATGGTTCAATCCCCCAGCACCACATGCCAGCCAGCCCTGCCCCCTGGTGGGCTGAGCTGGCCACACACACACACACACACAAATAAAAAATTTTTAAAAAAATTCCCAGTTCCGCCATAAAATAAATAACTGTATTTATTTACTTAGTTGAGTTTTTCAAAACAGTGTCTCGCTATGTACTTCAGCCTGGTCTTGAACTCACTCTGTAGCCCATGCTGGCCTTGAGGCAATCTTTCTGCCTCAGCTCCCAAGTGCTGGGATTATAGGCATGAGCCACCACACCAGGGTTGTCTCTGGAATGTTTTTTAATCAAACCAAAGGAAACTATTCTCTCACTTGCACAAATGTTTTCTCTACATTGCTAAATGAAAAATGGTTGTTACAACAGTATGTACAATAGGATACCACTTTTTTTTAAAAAAAGAAATAACTCCCCCCCATGCACATGACACACTATGCACACACAGAGTGGGACACAAAGTATTTATTGTGGTGATATCTGGGTAATATGATCAGGTATGCACTTTGTGTTTCTCCATTTTTCTAAGACGCTCTACATTTAATGTTTTTAAATCTTTGGGGAAAAAAAGAGGGAGCTTTGTTAGGGATAAAGAGGCTACCTGCCAAGGATGGTTCCAGAGCCTCTGTTCATTTGGATGAACTGGCTCCGGGTAGACATTTTATTCGGTTCCTGGCTGAAGACTGACAAGGAAAACCCTGATTCCAACCAGGTCTGGCCTGACCCCAAGACCCAGTGAAGGTTGGCTGAGCCTGAATTGGGGCTCTAGGGACTGAGGCTAGAGACATGGTTTCTCATCAGATGGTTACAGGTCCCAGGAGGCCAGTTTCCAAATAGGAAAGATAAAAATAGTCAGAAGGAGGCTCCTGAACCAGATATCCAGATTCTGAACTGCCTCGGACTCCTTCTGTCCCTAGTCTGAGCACCAAATATCATCTGAGCCTCTGTTGCCACTCTCACTGCTGTCTACATCTGCACACAGCCTCAATTCACCCCACCTGCATCAGAACAACCCTCCTAAAAAACAGCCAAACTCAAAATTTTCTACAACTCCCAAGTGGGAACCTTATTGAAAATGAAAGCCATGGGCTGGATCCCCAGTAGTGGGGGTGGGGGTAGGGATAGGGGTGGTAGAACTCCTAGGTCAAATAGTGGAAATTATGACTTAGCACATCTGGAGGGGTCCCAGAAATCTGTAGCAAGACTAGCACCCTCTAAAAGTGCAAGTATCCCTAAAAAAACAAATGCCTGCAGGAATGAGCTTCCCCTTGACCCAAAGGCAGCTTGGTTAGGGACAGCTGGACTGAAGACAGTAGTTCCAAGTAAACAAAGGCCGGATTCAGACTCTATCAGAAACCCCAACAGTGTCTCAGTTAGAAATCAGTCTGATCTGATTATGAATAACCTTAGTTCACTGAAATGTAGCTCCAACTTTTTTTTTTTTTTTTTTTTCAGAACCGGGGATTGAACTCAGGCCCTTGCACTTGCCAGGGAAGTGCTTATTCCACTGAGCCATTTTCCCAGCCCCATTGCTTTTTATAGTTCAAGAAAATTAAGAATTAGAAACAGAGATGAAAGAGTAAACCCTTAGTAATAATCAGTGTATTCTTGGAATCTCAAGTATATGTAACCTTGAAAAACTTTGATATGCTAAATATCTGACACTCTAGTACTGTGATTTTAAGATATTAAAATTAAAATAGATAATTGATAAAATATCTTTGTAATTAAGACTTACGAGTTTAGATTGAGATGTTAGTAATGACACTGGTATATATTGGAATATTCTAGAATTGTTGCAGACAGCTGAGTTAGATAGAAATATTATAGGCAGTCAGACAGGGCCAGGCTCTTGAAGGAGATACCACAGAAGACAAGATATCTTGCAACACTGGGAGGGATAGACGCTCCCGCCATGGGCCAGACCTAAAGACCAAAGATCAAACAAATGCCAACCTCCCTAAAGATTGGCATCCGAGATTGATCATCACCCTGAGGGAGCCAGAAGAATCATTAATCCGACTACTACTGGATGGCTACCTGATAAAATCCTGTTCTATATTCATGCCCCCTTGCTATGTGACTCACTTCCCCATTTGGTCCTGGACTTGATCAATTTTACCTGAGCAATGTGCTTGTAATCCTACTGGGTGACCATAGTTTTGTCCCACCCCACATCCACCTAAGCAAGTTCCCATGTTCCCACCACCGTAGACCCACCTCACCACATGGTTTTCCTCTATAAAAGTCTCTGGAAGAGACAGCTTCCCAGAGACAACCGGCTCAGGTCCCCCTCCTGTCCCTCTCTCTCGGACAGGAGCTTTCTCTCCCTCAATAAATATATTCTGCTCATAACCTCTGTTTGTTCCTAAAATCCATTCTTCGGTTTTAGAGAACACAAACTCATCCAGGTCAGGCTGGGAGATCATTTTCAAACCCATGTCATTTGGAGGTTCCCAGTATTATCTGGAGGTTACCCACCTGAGATCAGTTTTTCTCCCTGTATCAGAATCACCTGTAGAACTATAACTATTTCTAAAGGGTATCTCACCCTTAAAATCTACCTTCCAGTACCCCTGAGGGGCTGTATCTCTAGTGAACCACAGCTGCCTTCAGGCAAGTGGTTGGGACTTTGCTCGACCCCTGGGAAGGATGAGATTTGGGAAGGTGCCCTGAGGGAGACAGTTGATTTTTATCGGTAGCATGGCAGAGAAAGGATCTCACTGTGTAACCCAGGTTGGCCTCAAACTTGCGGCAATCCCCTTGCCTCAGTCTTCCTAGTGCTGATATTATAGGTATGCATCACCATGCCTGGCTCCGGTTAAACATTCTTTTTTGATACCAGGGATTGAACTCAGGACCTCATGCTTGCCTGAGCTATATCCCTGGCCCTCTGTTGAAAATTCTTATCTAAATACTTGGGACCAGAAGTGCTTCAGATTTCTGATGGTTTTAGATTTTAAATTATTTGCATAGATTTTGAAATCTGAATTTCTCAGAAATCTGAAACTTTTTGAATGTTTTGTCAGTGCTCAAAGTTTCAGATTTCAGCACATTTTAGATTTCAGAACACACACACACACACACACACACACTTTTTTTTTTTTTTTTTTTTGTGGAACTCAGGCCTTTGTGCTTGCCAGGGAAGTGCTTATTCCACTGAGCCATCTCCCCGCCCCCCACACACAGTTTTTTTTGGTGGTACTCAGGGCCTTCACATAGAGAAAGCAACATCCTGGCCTTCTTTTATTTTGAGGTAATTTCACTAAGTTGCTTGGGAAGTAGCATTATTACTCCATCTTCCAGATAACATGCGGTCTGTAGTTTGCTCAGTTATATAGCCTAAGAGTGGCATGGATGGGACTTGGAGCTAACTTGTATGCTTAGAATACAAATGCTCCTTGATTTAATGGTGGGGTTACATCCAATAAACCCATTTTATGTATGTATGTATGTATGTATGTATGTATGTATTTGTGTATTTGGTACAGGGTCTCACTACACAACTCGAACTCATAGTGATCCTCCTGTTTTCAGCCTCCCCAGCGCTGGAATTACAGGCATGGGCCACCATGCCCCATCTTGGTTGCCCGCTCAGCACACCTGGGGTTGGGGCCAGCACAGCATGTGGTGCCAGGGATCGAACCCCAGTCCCTGCTAATGTCACTGAGCTATATCCTTGGTGAAAATATTTTAAGTAAAAAATGAATTTAAGATGCTAGGCATAGTGGTAACAGCTGTAATCCAGAAGTCTGGGAGACTAAGGCAGGAGGATCTGAAGTTTGAGCCCATCCCGGATAACTTAATGATTCAACAAGACCCTGTCTCAAAAAAGGGACTTAGGGATAGGTATGGTAGTACATGCCAGTAATCCCAGCACTTGGGAGACTGAGGCTGGAAGATTGCTGAGAGTTTGAGGTCAGCCTGTACTACATGGTCAGTTGAAGTCCAGTCTGAACTCCATAGAAAGACCTTGTCGCAAAAAAAAAAAAAAGAAAGAAAGAAAAAAGAACAGAAAAGAATGAAAGAAAAAGGCTGGGAGCCAGGGATATAGATCAGTGACATAAGTTCAAGGTCCTGAGTTCGATCCCCAGTACCAAAAAAAAGAAAAAGGCTCAAATTATAGCTCATTGCAAAGGTACTAGCTTCAGTTCCTAGCACTGAAAAAAGAAAAAAAGAGAGGGGGTGGATTTAATACACCTAGTCTACTAATCTACTAAGCACCTTAATTTAGTAACATAGTACACTTCAGAATATCACTTGTTTCCCCTGTGATCCTGAGAAGGATTTCCTTGTGATCACAGCAGATACCGTGATTCACTGCCACTGCCCAGTGTCATAATAGATAACAAAAGGTGGAGAAAAGATTAGAACTCAAGGTACGTTTCTACTGAAAGTACAGTATACTGCTTTTGAACTTTGTAAAGTTGAAAAGTTACAAGGCGCGCCATTGTAAGTTGAAGACTATCTATGTGCAAAGGAAAATAATGTGCACGGGTTGGCTGAGGCAGTCTGACTTTGGGCGATCTCTTGCCCTCTGCTTTCAAGCCTTAATCTGCCACCCTCGAGTAGCATTACACTGAGGATGGAAGGCCTGCTTAGATTGTGGCCCTGTCTAGACCTGCCAAATTAGAAATTGCCTTGGTTAGGACTAGGCAATTCCCTGCTGCCTTAGACTGCTGGGAATGGTCTACTCCTCGCCCCAAGGAGTGCAAGAGACAAAAATACGAACAAAGCCAGAGTGAAAAGTGATTACAGCTAAAAACACTGCAGCATCTGAAAGATACCCTAACCCATGAGGGGGTTGCTCCTGTCAGGGAAAACACCTATAACTTTCTAGCACTTCT